AAGGAGTTGACATTTTGCAGGACTCGCGCGACGTCCCATCGCCGGCGCTCCCCGGGACCCCGCCGCCGGGAGGAGGGGGCGGAGGAGGGTGGAGACTGCGGGGCTTGGCCAAGGAAAGCGCACATCCTCGGGCGGGCGGCCGTGACGCGGCGGGGATTAACTTTGCATGAATAATGTGAGTGCGCTTGGAAAGGAGACCTTCTGCTCCCCGGGCTCCGGGCTAGCGCCCGCCGGCCACCTTCCCCGGGCAGGGGCGCCCAACCCAACCGGCTCCAGGGCACTGGTAATTTGGCGAGAGGACCGCGCGGAGGCAGGGTGAGGGGGGTGAAGGGGGAGGAGGGGGCGACAGTTCCAAATGTCCGGAAGGGTGGGCAGGAGGGTGACGAGGGTGTCGCAGGAACCTGAAGGGGTGCGGGCGGCAAGCTGAGAGCGCGCAGGCGGGCGGGCGTGGGTGGGTGGGGGTGTCAGCCGCCCTATTACCTGCCTCCGCGGGGTTTCTGCGCCCCGGGTCTGGGAGAAGGTGCCCTCTCGTGCTAGGGCACCGCGGGGCGGCACTCTGGGAGGCACAGCGTAGGCAGTGGTGGAGCAGGGGGGCCGGGGGCCGCTCCAATCGCAGCGGCTGTTTCTCAAACCCCAACCCGGCTGTTGACAGGCTCCTTGTGAAATGGAGTTTGGCATCCTCAGCGCCGAACCCAGTGGAAGTTTCCATGATGAGGAAGTTCTGTGACACGGGGGTTCGGAAAAGGTTGGCAGACACGGGGGTGGGGCGGGTGGAGCGGTTTAAAAGGACCGTGAGTCCCCCATCCCCCTTTATTCTCCTGCCCCGGAACTGCCTGGTTTGGAAAGAATAATCCTGAATGTTGGCGTGCGCTGTTGCCGGTGCCCGGCGACTTGGCTTCTCCCCACCTTCTTCGGGAGTCGGTGGCGATTTCGCTAGCCTGCTGGGTCGCACTTCTTTGCTTTGCTTCTCTTGACGCAGCATCTTCCTCTGAGTCTCCTGAAGTTGGTTCTGATACCAAGAGTTGTGCCAGCTGTGCGCTCCCTCCACCCCCGCGCCACCCCTCGGAGAAGGACTAATTTGGGAGAGTTTTTTTACTCCTAGTGGATTTTGCCCTTCTTAGCTGCAGTTGTCATTTTGGAAGAGGATTTCCCAATGACCATTGTAGGATTATTATTAGTGCTAATTCTTAAGCCTTCCGATTTGGGGGTGGGGTGGGGAGTAGCATGGGGTGAGTTATTTATTTATTTATTTATTTATTAAAGGTTAAATGTATAAATTTCCTCCAAATGGGAAATTTTAAAAGGTTTAGAAGCATAACAATTTGTAAAGTGACTCAAGGAAAGAGAAGAGCATTTACCTGAACGGAGAAGTTCAGACTCTCCATCTTCCCCTCTCCACACACGTTTAGAATTTGTAAAGATTCAAACACTGCCCCTAATCAGTAAAGAAATTTGAAACAAAGTCTTCCTTTTAGCACGTTACTGTCTCAGATGCTAGTGAGATTCAATTTTAAAGACCTGTTTTGAAGTTTAAAAAATAAAACATTCCTTGGACAGTACTACTATCAAAGCACAACCATTTTTATAATGATAAATATATTGGGTAATGTAGACCTGTTGGGCAGTATCTTTACTTTATTTGGCCTTATTTAGTTTATAGTATGCTTATTTACACTGTAATAACATAATAGCGTGCACTGGATTACAAATTAAAAATTGCATTTTAATCAAAATATTCCATGATTTATTCTGAATATTCACCATGACTGCTCCCTAATTCACTTCTGTTTACCTCTCTTATTTTGAAACAAGTCATGGACTAAAAAACGTTTTTTTTAAAGGTGTTTTGATGAAAAGTATTTTGAGCGATGGATGTTTTTAGCAGTTTTCATGCCACTGGGCTAAGTGTTTTAATTAACTTTAACAGAAATTCCATAGTAAGCGATTTGATTGGGGTATCATATGGGAAGGCACTGGCGAAAAACTATTTATTATTCGTGATTGTTAAACAGATACCATCACAATTTCATTTTTAATGAATTTCAAAGTTCTGTTATACATTGGAAATGGGACCATCTGCTAGTAAATATGATTTGCTTTTATTTTTCGGCAAGTAAAAGTAAATGATACTGAATATAGCCATAGAACTGTTCCTTTATGAAGCAATTCCTGTTGGTATTACAATTCAAAGGCATAATTTTATTGATATTAGAATAAAGTAACTGACTTTACAAGAGGAATAAACATTCCATTTTCCTCCTAGATATTCTTTGCAGTAAATTCTGCTATGAAGGTGAATTAAGACAACTTCCTTTTAATTTACATCTTTAGGAAAAGGTGATTTCTTAAAATTTCCTTAAGAAAGTTGTGGATTTTTTCCCTTTCTTGGGATTCTTGCACTGGGTGTGTGGAGCCACAAATGGGATTGCACTTTTCTGTTTTTAGTAAGCTCATCTTTTTGATGAAATTCAGAGTAAATGTGATTGATTTCTTTACCTCCTTTTGTCATCCTAGTGTCGTATGGTGTGTCACCTTCTTCAAAAGCCTTTCTCTGACCACTTGAGCCAAGTCAGTCCCCCATTCCTTCTCAGAACCATCCCACTGTTTTTTGCTTCCTTTCTTTCCCCTTCCTTGGTCTTATATGCAATCCGAATTGTTCATTTCGGTTGGTACTTATTGATTGCCTGTATTCTGTGTCTAGAATATGGAGTCTGTGAGAAAAAGTCTTGACTGCTTCTACAGGAGGATCTTGAGCAGTGCCTGGCACAGAGGAGATGCTGAACAAATCTTTGTTGAATAAATTAATGGCTGTGCCCAAACATTTTGTATCCCAAAATACCTGACTAAGCTTCCCAAGTGTGTACCAGTTAGGTACGCCAAGATCTGTGCCTATATATGAGGGTGTGCCATGTGTATGTAGTTCAGGTGCCCCCACCGCTTTCTGGCTGAGAGGAAGCCCCATTTTGTGTAGTGATGAGGCAGAGGGTTATTTCTGCAAGTTTTCCTGGAGCCATTTGCCTTGACTACATGGAAATCCTCAGCAAGTTTGTCTTATTTTGATTCCCTGAAGACTTTGACCTTCAACACCCTGGGTTTCAGTGACATTTTTAATGAGTTCCAGAGGTATTGTTAGTGCTAAGAGTGAAATTCCAGGTAACAGACATCACCGGGTGATAGGAATGCCTTCTTCCTCAGGAAGTTCTGCCCTTGGGACCTCAGGAAACCAAGGGCACTTGGTGGTATCGCTGGTCTACAAAAATGGTGGTCGAGGAAGAGGCATTAAATGGGAATACCAGGATCCCATACAAGGAAGAAATGCCCTTGAAAGTCGATTTGGAAGTAACCCATGTTGTAAGTAAAATCAGTCAACCTCTCCATTTGCCCCTTTTGCCAATTCCATAATCAAATTTTGAACCAGATGACGGTGGGAAATATTACATTATCTGAGTTTTCAAGTGACTGAAGTGTGATACCCAAGGGATTATCTTTGAATTAGCTATTCGTGGAAATGCTTTGACAGTTGAGACTAAAAGGAAATTACAATTAATGACTATAGTAATTTGTTTTTGTTTATAGGGTATTGACTTTCAGAAACATGTCTGACTGAGTAAAAATTCCACAAAATGATGAGACTGATAAAAATGGTAGAGGAAGAAAGATCGAAATCCTATAAAGGAGTAAATATAATTAAACTGAAGTCCTAAGCACTTACTACTTTTGAGTATTTAATTTAGCTCCGAACTTCTCCATAGCCAAGTTAATAGAAAAAAAGGGGACCTGGAGGTGGCAAGCATGCATTAAAGTTGCAAGAATAGATCATAGAACATGTGTTGAGTGCTTATTATGGTGCCTGACAACTAGTATATACTCCTGTGAAATATCAAATCGTATAATGGCCAATACTTGAACTTCAGTTCTACAGAAAATGAAGTAAAGTTCTTTATATGACCATGTCTTTTACCACCCTAGAAGTCAAAAAATTCAGAAGACGTAATGATAACAAGTAAACCAGTGGGAGTTTATCTTTGGAGCCTGGGCTATCATGGTCCAGTGGTGGAGATTGTCCCCAGCGCAGAAATAGAGCTCAGAAGGAAATAGAGCTAGAGGAATGAATGGTTAACATGTTCTTTAGGCTGACTTTCTCAAATATCCAGTGTCTCAGCCAATCTTTTGACTAGAGCAATCTGAGAGGACAGGACAGCCAGGTACTTGAAAATGACACTATGGCCATAAACCTCTCTGAACAGGTGGCCTCAATGCTTTGTGCTTTAGTCTGCATAGCTCTTCCCCTGCAGAGAAGTTTGTTTCTAGTGACCATTTCTGTCTTCCCTTCTAAATTGTGATGAGGGACCATGAGTTTATTTATCCTTGATTCCCTAGCTCCTAGCAAAGAATTTGACGCATGGGCACAGGAAAATGCTTGTTGAAAGAATGAATTGAGAGTAAGAAAGGGCGGTGCTTCTCTTTCTCTTCTAATGTTTGTATTGTCGTTTTCTGACTTGATTTTGCCCAAAGTGAAGAATGTTTGCTGTCTGAATTGCATCACATGTCCATATCAAAGCTGAATATTTAGCTCGTAGGGCTTAGTCTTATGTCTGGCTGGTTGAGCAATGGATAGCAAGTTAATTCCCTGCTTTATTTAAAGTCATTTTAGTTACTTGTTTCAGTTCCTCATTCAGTCTATAAAAATGTGTGTACCTACTACATGCCTGACAATATGCATATATTAATATAAAGATGATTTTGAAATGGTTTACACTATGATGGAATGGGTCTGCCTACTGAGATCTCTTATTTGGCACCCTGGATGAAATAAAGTTATTTTCATATGAGGAAGCGATTGTTTTGTGGTTTCTGTAGCACATGCGTAGTAGTGTAAATTGCCCTGGGATTCACTGAGGATTCTTTTGGTAGCCACATAGTGTGAGACTGAATATGTTTAAGCCAGGGAGTCTCTAATTAAGGATGTTCATTCTCTACTCTAAGTTCTCTAACCTATTAGTCATATGGCATTTGAGAAAGGGGGAAGGGAAAGATTCAAATCACTGAGTCACAAGTAAGGTATTTCCATATCCTCCTCTCAGGAATCTGGCCAACTGACAGCTTAGAATAATGATCTATGTTCAGTGCTAATGTTGTTTTGTCCATACTGTCCTAATTTTAAGGGACTTTGGAGACTTTATGTACTGGCAGCTCTTCTTGTGCAGTACTATTTTTATTAAGTGAGAAACTGAGCTCCACTGTGAACTTAGTATCTTTTCCAAATGGCAAGTCAGGAGAGCC